AAAAATCAGAAGTGAGATATCTTACAGTAGGAGCACACAGCAAGAGATGTTCATCACTGTTCAAAGCGCTTTCGCAAAGACGAGACTGAATCCTATTCAAAGACTTAAACCCGTCGAATGCTGGTTGAGCCCACTTTGGAAGCTCGGTTATGTCAATAAGTTTCTGAATCAAAATAGGCCTAAAGCTTTTGAGCAAAAAGGTTGTAATATATTACTAACTTCGCCTTCAGCAAATGGCCTTGGCTTGAGTGCGGGGACGTGAATTTCTTCGTAGCTTTTCTTCTGCTTTCTATAGGATCCGTCGGGAAGTTCACACCTAATTAACTTTGATTTGATTATAAGAGATGTTTACATGTTCACTTATGTGTAAACATGAAGAATTATTCGGAAAAAATTAATTAATTAGTAATGTGTAATTAGGCAACCTCTTATTGCTCATCAGATGACTTCCTTGCGCAAATGCCAGATCCTCTAGATCCAACACTTTCCTCCCGGCTAGCCATTGCCCAGCAGCCACTGCTTCCTCACCAGCAGCAGCTATAGCTCGTCTTTGAGCTGTTTTCTCTCGTTTAGCACGTTCTGTCTGGAGTACGAAACCTTCAAATAGATGAAGATGCATTGCATTTTAATCCCTTACCTCAACAATATCAGTTTCGTCAGTTTCGAGAAGTTGTGCGAGAATGTGGTGAAGTTCAGGACGCGATTTCATCTCTTCTTCGATCTAAACATTGAAAATGAACCCCGCATGAGTGTAACTGTGATCGGAAAAAATGAAAAGCTGACCTTGATTTTTTCTTCATCTTGGGCTTGTTTCAACAATGTACAGTACAAGACCATGTGCCGATGCTGGCGCAGAACCCGGATGAAGTCGAAATGGTCAAATCCGAGAAGAAGGACAAGTTTATTTTCACATTCACGATCATCAACGGAATCCTTAACGATCCACTTTCGCAATACAAACTTACATAGATAACAGCAGAAATTCAAGTCGTTTCGAAAAAATGGAAGTAAACCCACTTTCAAAATGCTAAGTACTTCCGTTACTTTTTGTTGCGCTACAATTGGATCATTGAAAAACTTTGCCAAAGATCGCTGGATCCAGTGAGCATCTATATCGCGTGGATGAAGAGCGTCCTTCTTTGCAGCTTCCTCTTCCTAAGAAAACAGGGATAACATACTAGTTCACTGTCTTTGTTCAAAAAAATAACAAAAAAACTTACCTCATCAAAGCCTCCTCCACGTAACGTTTCATTGTGTTCTGCCTCTTCTCCTCCCTCATCTTCACTGGAACTTTCGTCAACATCTGAAAATATTGGATATCGAATAAGCCTGAATCTCGTCAAGCGCATTGACTATAAGTTTGTAATGGCGCGAAATCAACATTGAAGGTCCTCACAATTAAAGATAATTGAACATCCCATAAAACAAGAACGTCTAAGATAAGTTATATCAAAGAAACCCCCGAAAAAAAGACTTGCTTTTAATTTCGTCTATAACTGCATCTTGCTCTTCATCTGATTCGTCAAAGTGAACGTTGACACCTTCATTCTCGTCCAATTCATCCTGTAAAAAACCATTTTAAATCGAAAAAAAGATCATGAATGAGATATAGATCACCATATCCATTTTATGCTCATCCTCCATTGAAAAATCTGTAATTTTCCTCGCCAAATTAATAAGCACTGCAGTTCTTTCATCCGTTAGCGTACCAAGCAAAAGTTCAACCTAAAACAAAAAATTTAAAACAATAATGCTTTGTTTTAATAGTTACCCAATTCAATCCCACCTCCTTCTTTTTCTCTTTCTCTCGAATTTTGTCAGATTTTAAGACAGCTAGCACTTCGTCAGCAGCTCCACAAAGAATGTCTCGAGGCTGAAAAATGATAAACATTCGAGTGCAGTTTGTTGGGTGCAGCCTAAAGGTACCTGGTCGCCAATAGCTTCCTGTATAAATGCCAAAATGACTTCATAAGTCTGTTTTGTTTCTTGTGTGCGAGGCTTATAGCTACCCATAAGCTCAGTGTTGTCACCGATAATAGATTTGGACATGATACGAAAATCTTCCTCATCTGCCTTCTTCTTTCTAAAAAATTGGTCCATTAAAGGAAGGAGACAACTGGGAACAACCAACCGTTTCTTTTTCTGCTCTTGGATTGGAGCTTTTGTGCGCATATATTTGTCACCCATTTTCATCCCTTTGAGGACTCTATCAGACAGCGGCAACACCTCACCAGTAGGTTCCTCACGACCTCGGCGGTCCGTAAGGTTGTAATCAACTTGCAATACCAAGTTGGAGTTCTACAAAAAACATTATATTTTTTTTAAAGCCGAAGAGGAAGGAGATCACCTGGCGATATTCATACTGTTGCACCCGCGCTAATTCATCAGCCATCTTGCAAAGAAGTTCTAAATGTGAAGATCACACGACTCAATTGCCTGCAATATGTCCAGTGAGATGAAGAATGGTGATAATGTGATTGGAAACTAGATAATATTACGTAACAAAACGGAAGAAAAGCAATAGGTGAGTGGATACAAGCGTTTATATCTCCGAACATCGCTAAAGTATGCACAACCACTATCACAGGTTAAACAATGTTCACTGATTCACAACATAAGTAAAATGGCTTACAACTCAGTAAGAGATTGCACCGGTACAGGACATAACGAACATTTAACTCAGCAATCAACACCATACAAGCGTTTTTAAAATAACATTCTCAGATTGTTGAGAGTGGTAGACCAACGTACAAATTAATTTTAAAAAGGTAAAGCTCTGAAATGATAATTTAGACGATTAGCATGATCAAAACAAGTGATGCAATTATTTTATCAAGTGATTAGTCAGCCTTAGCAGGCCGACGTTTGCTGAGAATCTGCTCAGTATCATAATTTACAATAGTTTGTGAAGCAGTCACCAAGTGAACAAGGCTAATTACAGACTTTACAAATGCTATAGGGAAAGCTATAGCAGCAAGATAAGACAGCAAGTAGACACCAAAAACTGAGGGACCAGGATGGAATGCACGTAGGTAGAGGATCTGATAGAAGGCCTCATTTCCGGCGCACATAAATCCAAGAAACATGCGATTGGTATAGTAGAGATGTAGAATAGGATTATCGCTTTTCTTGTGGGTTTCAGCACGTGTGAGGTCAGTAGCATGAAGATGCAGCCAATGTGAAGCAATGTCAACCACAGCGCTGATCTTGAAGTTAGATCAAATAAGTATAGTATAGTATAAGTAAGTTTGATTATAAGATCTGAAGAGGTACCTGAATCCAAAACATCCAAGCAGGATAAAATCTGCACAAGGCCATGCATAATGCCATTGTGCCACATCTATCCGTTAACTGATCCAGCATTGCCCCAAAACGACTGCTTTGGTTGTATTTACGAGCAGCCCACCCATCGAATGCATCCAAACCAGCGCTCAGGGCATAACTTAACCAAAGCCTTCATATATTTCTAGCATATTGCTGTACCTCGTGGTAAACGCTATGAGAGGAGGGAGAGGGGGAG